TTGCTCTATCCTACATCCAAGAAGGTAAAAGTTGATCTTAAAGTAACTGCAGCGAGAATCATTATTAACCATTGATTGTTGTGAGCTTGCAACATTGATAGGACATTTCGCGCATTTACTCTCACGTACTAAATAAGTCGTAAGTTCTATTTATTGTCGTTATTTTCATTTTATCCAAGCAAAATTCTAGCATATATCCATGTGGTTAAGAGGAATTTGCAGCGCAAATTAATGAAGAAGGTGGCTTCACTAATCTTGACAAATAGAAATGGAATCTAAGGTTGGACTGAAGTCGGGATCCTACTGAAATTCTAAAACTATATAAAAAAACCCTAACCCTTTTTTTTTAGCTAAAAACTTGCTAGATGTACAGAGGGAGCATAAATACAATCGTTAACAAACATGTGAGGTAGACTAATACTATTAGCTGTTGAAATTGATTGAGACAATATATCTTCATGAAAAACCTATATATTTACACCATTCTTGCAACTTATAAAGTCACCAAAATTATACTTCCGATTTCTTGCAGTATAATAATGTATTCAACTCAGCCATTAAAATGAGAAACCATTGCTCTAACCAACATTCAAGAAGATAAAAGTTGATCTCAAAGTAATCACAACGAAAAATCAATATTAACTGCTGATTGTTGTGAGCTTGCAGCAATGATACAATATTCTCGCTCATTTACTCCTATGTACTAAAAAAGTCACAAGTTATTGTTGTTATTTTCCATTTTGTCCAGGCAAGATTCTAGCATATATCCACGTGTTTGTGAGGAATTTGCAGCATAATTAATGAAGAAGTTGGCTTCATTAATCTTGACAAATAAAAATGGAATCTGGGGTTACACTGAAGTCGGGATCATAGTGAAGTTCTAAAACTATGTAAAAGAAATCATAACCCTAGTTTTTTAGCTAAAAACTTGTTAGATGTACAAAAGGAGCATAAATACAATAGTTAACAGACATGTGATGTAAATTACTACTATTAGCTATAGAAATAGATTGAGACAATATATCTTTCATCAAAATCCTATATATTTACACCATTGTTGCAACTAGGGCTGCACACGAACCGAGCAGCTCGCGAGCCGCTCGCGAGCGCTCGAGTCAAAGCTCGGCTCGAGCTCGAGTTTGACCGAACTCGAGTCGAGCTCGAGCTCAAATTTTACCTTGTCGAGCGGCTCGCGAGTGGCTCGAGATTATGTTAAATTACAAAAATACCCCTTATATATGTATCTTAATATTAATATATGTACTTAATGGTAATTTTACAAATTTACTTGAAAAATTTCGAACCGAACTCGAGCCGAGCTCGAGCATTATGAAATCGAGTCGAGCTCGAGCAGCTTAAAAAAAATAATCAATCCTGCTCGATATGGCCAATGCTCGACTCGACTCGGCTCGTTTGCAGCTCTAGTTGCAACTTACTAAGTAACCAATTGGGACTGTCGATTCGTAATTTTTATTTTTATTTTCATTTTTATTTTTTTTAAAAAAGGGCCTCAATTAAACCTAAAATATAGATGAGATATATGTGCTTGGACACATATCTTAGGATGTGTTCTGGGGCTAGCTTTTCCCATTTGATAAAATATAAAAATAGATTAATATATAATTAGCATTTCTTGTTTAGGAAAATAACTAATTTGGGACTTTATTTTCTATTTATATTGGAGAAAGGGAGGATTAATTTACAATATATACGATTTTAGTCTCAAAATTAAGTTACCGGAAAAACATATAAAATGTGAAGATATAATCTTAAAACTTATATATATGTTGATGCAAGACATAATAATTTATCGATTAATTAAAATTTTTAAACTTATATATGTTGATGCACCACATAGTAATTTATTAATTAATTAATTGAAAATGATACCTGGGGCTCCATTACAGTTCTTTAAGGATATGTTAGAGATGGCTCTTGAAGAATTCTGCAATTGCCAAAAACAAAATTAAGTGATTTCTTAAATCTATTCAAGAAAACAAAATCTATAAAATATTTTAACCTTCAAAAAGCACCTTTTTGCGTTCGAACGAAAGATTTGTGTGTGCAAAAGCAAAATCAAGTGGGTTCAGTTTTTATATCCTTTGTAATAGTTTCAATGTGACACTTTGATGTATATATCATGAACTTTCTCCTTTTTTTACCCCGAAAAATTGGTAAAAAAAAAATTATCTATGGGTACATATAAGATTATGACCAGATAGGAATGAAATGAATGTCATTAATATTACATTTTCAACCATTAGCATTTGATTTCCTAAATGAAAACTAGGTTCCCATATATAAGATTATGACCAAATAGGAATGAAATGAATGTCATTAATTACATTTTCAACCATTAGCATTTGATTTCCTAAATGAAAACTAGGTTCTATAAATGGATGTTTGATTTTTGAATTGAATTACAGTAATAAAAAGTTAAATTATATAGTTAGTCGAGTTAATCTGTCTGTCAATTGATGCAGCATAAAATTAACATATTATAGAAGTGAGTATGTAATAAATAAATCACATGATCTTGACAAATTCAACTGCTTCTAGAGGGAAAAAAATCATATTTTTTTTTGTGCAAAATTAGTAATGCAGTCAAATTTGGCTAATGGGGCCATAAGCCATAATAGGTATCTAAAAGAAAAACAAATCAGCCAATTAAGAATAACATTACAAGAAAATTAATACTAAAAATACAAGTTCAAAAACCAGCCCTCCAGTCAGAACCGATTTATTACCACATCAACCCACACTCTATGTACAAATATAGAATTTTCTGAATATTTTAAAGTGTACTGTAATTTTATATATTAATTTCTAATGTTTTTAATCGTATATATATATATATATATATATATATATATATTAATATTTAATTATTCAAAATAATAGTACTTGTAAATTTAGAATTTTAACCATGTAGGTTAAAACAAGAAAATATTACAAAGAAATAATAAAAAATACTAGCTTAGATTATAAATTTACATCATTATTAAGTAGTCTTAATAATAGTAACTAAGCAAAACTAGCAGTGTACAATTAATTTTTCTTTATTTTGTTAATTAATGTTTTTATCTATATTTTGGACATAAATTTAAGATAAATAAAATATTTAGTTAATAAAATAAATACCTTTCTTCCCCGCATAAGTTACATATTAGGATCATGGAATGTGATTGTTTTGGAGGTTACCGGACTGAACTCATTTAGAGATTGACCGATTCAATCCGCTAATTAACTTGTTTGGTAAAGAATTTACTTGATTAGTTTTTTATACTTCAAAACACTATTTTGTAAAAGCTTAAAATAAGGACGTTTTGAGAAGAGAGAGTTCATATAATGTGTCAACATAAGATTTTGAAAATAGCTATACAAATAGTATAACTATTTGATATAAGAAAAAACATACAATACAAGTCCTCGAAGCAACGTTCTCTAGAATCCTTTTAATAAGATCAAGCTCTAAAGTCTATAGAATTTGTAATTCGACCCCCCGTTAGTTAAATTTAAGTTTAAACCCAAAAGATATTCAATCGACGAATCCATTTTGATGATTAATTCAAACCGTAAGTCATGAAGAAAATTGTCATAGAGTCACATGTTTTTGCATATATTTTTTGTGAATTAAGAGGAATGATATTTTTCTTAACATCTAATTGATATTTGAGAACACCATTTTGCATATTTGATAATAGGTCCTACAATATTGTATTACGAGGATTAGATTTCAAATTAAATGACATTTTTGATATTTTAAGGGACTATTCTTCTACTTTTGCGTCTAAGATTTTGGTCAACTTTCTTATTTGATCCATATAATGGGGGACCAAAATTTGGTTTCGATGTGGTATATTGTCTACTCGTTAAAGCCTGTCAAAATAAATTTTTGTACTAAAATGCAATATGAATTTTATAAATATTCATAATTCGCCATCTTGCTTACATCTTGATTATACATGTGTTCATTATTGCGGATAATCATATGGTCAAAATATAGGTGAAATTACAAATTATGAATGTTTATGAAAATTATATTTTACCACGAAAAATAATATAAATTGCAAATTCAAAAATTTCACCCAATCAAAAAATCATCACTTCTAGTACAAAAGTTCCAAATGTAGTAAAAAAAATCATGACTTCTAGTACAAAAGTTCCAAATGTAGTAAAAAAAAAATTTGATCGTTTTATGTTCGAATTTGTTATTGGATCAACTTTGATGTATGAGAATATTGGATACGAAATTAGAATGTGGTAATTAGATATTAGTCCTAAGATGACGTTTGACTTATCGTCTATTCCTATTGCAAAACTTAAAGACTTGGTCAATTTCAGTAAGTATAAAAAAAAAACTAAATCGAAAAAATATAAAACATACTATTATTAATTGGACAATTATATATTTTTTCAATAAATATACATACTTTAAATTAAAATCTTATCATTTAAAAATAATATAAATAAAAACGTGATACTTTATAATATAAAAATTACTTTTATTAAAAAAAAAAAAATGATGAATTGACTCGTTAACGACTAGGCCTCTCAAAACAAGTATCCATGGAAAGGATAAGCATGGATGTACCAAAATAATATCACCAAGTTATACCGAGTCAAAAATCACATTTATGTCGCGCATGATGCACAAATATCAAAATAATTGGCATGCCACAAGTCACACTACATTATTTAAATATTAATCTTGATTAGATTTAAGTACTTTTTATAGTTTAATTATTTAATAATTGGCAACCGAAAATGAAAGTCACCTCTCTTCATCACCAAATTAGTTTCCACCTTTAATTGAAATTTTCCATGATCGAGCTACCTTTAATTTGCTTAATAATTATCAAACCACTGCAATTACTTGGGCCGATCTTATAATTTTTACACACACATATATATGTCCATTAAAGATGTCATAATTTAAAAAAAAAAATCAAATAATTTGAATTATTTCATAATATATATTTTTTTCACAAAATATGATCAGTCGATTCGCCTACCGATTAGACTGAGTCATATTACAGTATATAGGTACTGATATAACTAAAACTTCAACCAACACTACTATCCACAAGTCAAAATTTCCATTGTTTTCATATTTCTTACATATACATTATGCATATGGCTACAATATCTCAATTCTTGAGTCATATCTATACCACCACCATGATTTTCTTCTCCACTCTCTTCATCGAATTAGCATTAATATTCTTATACAGCGCGGCCAAAATCTCCGCCCGAAGAAAGTCAACACCAACCGAACAAATATTTCTTGAAATCATCGGTCAAAAATCCCACGAGTACATTTATAAAACCGAGCCACCATTCGAGCTTCATGATCATCATGAGGAGTGTAGTGTGTGCTTGTCACTCTTTGAACAAGGGGATGAGGTTAGAAATTTGAAGTGCAATCACACATTCCACAAAGACTGCATCGACACGTGGCTGCAGCGAGAATCCGCCACGTGTCCACTGTGCCGTGGGGTCGTCTTGCCGCCGGAGATGGTGGTCGGCCGCCTGTGTGATCCGGCGGACGATGATGGTGATGAGGTAATGGTGTTGTATGCATTACATGGGAGTTATTCCCTGAGATTTTTTTGTTTTGTGAATACTTTGTTTTCATGATTGTAAAAGTTTTGTCATATTTGTTTTATTTTTTTGTTTTGTTTTATGGTGATGTACATTATGGATCTATGTGTATTGTATATATATAACATGTGATTCACAGGGCGGATCTAGGTTTAAGCTGTCCCCCCCAAAATTTTTATTTTTTAGTGTATTATTATTATTATTATTATTATTATTATTATTATTATTATTATTATTTATATAAACTCATACATCTATATTAAAATAATAATTGTATTATTCTTTCTACTAATAATTCAACTACAAATTACTCTTTTTACACTTTTGTATAACATTTTTTTTTAATTTAAATAAATTGAATGTATGAAAAATATGTGAAAACATAAAAATTGGTAATTCTTGAAAAAGAAGTCCAAATAAGATATACTTAATGGAAAGAAAAAATATCAAAATTATTAGTATTGAGTCACTCATTCATGAAATTCATGAGTTGAGTTGAGTTGAGTTGAGAGAGAGTTCAATCTAAGTTTGTTATTGTTAAGGTTTGAAACTTTATAATTCATATTGCATTATTATTATATATAATTTTATAATACAACTTTCTATCTTTAATGTATATTAATTCAAATTTATAATTATTAAATAATATTTAGCCCCCCTCACAATAAATTTCTGGATCCGCCCTGCATGTGAAATAGTTTATTTATTTATTTATTTATTTGTTTATTGTGGTTGTGTATGAGGTTGCATAGTTTGCATCAGCCTATAAGGGCATTTTTATTTTACTTCCCAAGAATGTATTTGTATGTATTTTTTTTTTTTTTTAGTNCTATGGAAAATATTATAATCTTGGGTTGTGTCTCTCGAGACAGAGTTTTTAGAATTGGATTCTAGCACTGATTGTTTTCGAAAATGAAAATTAATATCCTAAAATTTGCCCACAATTTGGTTGGTTGTGTTAAGCTAAACGAGAGCATGAAAACTTGAACGAAAGCAAAGGATTCACGAGAGAGCGCAATAAAAGAAAGGTAAAAAGAGAACTAAGTTCTTCAAGACTAAAGATAAAAAGAAGACACTTAGAGGTTCGAAACATGCAATTAATCAAATGTTCGGTAAAAGTCAATCGGGCTATTAAACTCACTTATGTTAACGCCAAGATTTTGAAAACCGGATGGGTTATCGAACCAATCAAGGTATTGATTCATCATTGGTCCGACCAGTGGTTGAACCGGTTGGACGAGTATTTAATATATTAATATCTTTAAACATATAGTAACATTTTATATTATAATATATATATATATATATATATATAAAACTATGTTAATTAAATATTAAGCCAATTTAAAACATTCAAATACTTAAACTACTAATAATACCTTGTATATATATCCATTTAAATCAGTATTTTATATTTTAAAATATATTAATTTTTTATAAAAAAAATGGACCGATTCATACTAGTCTGACTGGACCGATTTTTGGCAGGTTATGGCCTATTTTGACATGTTCGCTGGCAACTGGTTGATTCCACTGAACCGGACCGAACAAATGCCAGTTCCCAAATCGGTCAGTTCAGTCTGGTTTTCTAAACCATACTTAATGCATAAAAAAAAAAAAAAATGCGGAGTAACTCATATAGGAATATCACCCATGCATAATTTTGGGACTGAAGATCACCATAACTTAATCCTTAAGCCTAAATAACCGAGCTTTAAACCAAAAACTTAACCTTAACACAATTCAAAGCACACCAATTTAGAGCATCAATCAACTCTATCCTCGATCACAGACGACCACGAAATTGCACATTTCGTAATCTCCAATATGTTGTGCTACTCTACTCATGAAAGTTCACACTTTTAGTCTAAAAGTTATCATTAAACAAATATAAGACAATTTATGAGATCTTGAACTTTAAACAAAACTTGAAAGTCTCTAGTAGCATCTATGAAAAGAAATAAAGTGGAATGTTGCAATCTTGATGCAGAAATCTAACAACAAAAATATGGTCTTGGAACAACTTAGAGAGAAGAAAAAAAACTAAGAAATGATTCTCAAATGAAATTTATGAAAAAAAAATGCCTCAAGTGTATTTATTATACTCTACAAAAGGTAACACGCATTGGGCACAGGACACTTGACAATGTTGTTGATTCAATTGCAGACATTGTATTAAAAATGGACTCATGGGTTGTACCAAAAAAAAAAATGGACTCATGGGTCACGAAAATGGGTCAAAACTCGCGACCCATGAGTTCGGGAAATGTGGCCTCAAGTCTACATATGCTAAATCGCACGTTAACTGCATTTCGCATTTCGCGACTCTACGAGTTTCCAACAACATTCTTAGTAATTACATGCATATTGCGTGAATAAGTAATTTAGCAAATATTTATACGTATATATATATATATATATATATATATATATTATTTTAATATTTTGATAATTAGATTTTTTTAGAACATTTGTCACATCATTTTCAATGATGAACAAAATAAAATGATGTAGATTATGTAACTTTGTGATAATTTGTTTATTTTGTCAATGAATTACCCGTTGACCTAACTCTGGTTGACAATTTGTTTATTTTATGTAGTTTCGTACGTTTTCTTATCAACTTTCAACTTGAACTGCTATGGATAAGTTTTAATATTTTGAATTTGTCAACGGACGTAATTATGAGCATGCTTTTATTTACGAATCAATCAATAACAAGCCATTAAAATTCTACTAAATAAGGTCGTCTATATGGATCACATTACGTTATCGTGCTTGATCAAAGTACAGATTCTCAATCAAATTTAAATATTTTAAATCATTTTTTATTGTCTCCTTCCAAATTTTCTTAGGTTTACTCCTCCTTCTTTTAATTTGCGTTCTTATCTCTAATGTTTCTACCATTCTCACTGGTAGCTCGAAGTCTCTCATTCGCACATGCCCAAACAATCTATATCGTGATTCTCTCATTTTCTCCTCTATAGGCGTTACCTCAACTTTATTTTTAATATTTTCATTTCTAATCTTATCTAACATAGTATACCAATACATCCATCTCAACATTTTCATCTCTGTCACTCGCATTTTTATATCATTTTCATATCGAGTAGCCCAACACTCGGATTAATAAGGCTTAGTCGGTCGAATGGCTGTTCGATAAAACTTGCCTTTCAAACTCACTGGTACATTATGAATATTTTTAAAAAATGAATTCTTTCAAGAGTAATTGGCGAGTTCCTTAAATTTTTTTGTTTACAATTAACAAATATCATTTCAACTTGAAATTTATACCAACCAAAGAACACATGGCATTGATTAAAATATACAAATATACCTATTTTTTTTTATTAATACGCACCTTTATGTAATAATATCAATTTCTATAATGAACATTTCATTTTTGTATTTTTAATCAATTGGAATTGGTTACATAATCAAATTATTTGTTTCATTCCATAAATTTTTTTATATAAATTAATGTAAATGTATTTCTTTTACTTTTTAAAATTAAATATTCTTTTTATTTGATATCTACTTTTATATATAATATATTATATTATTCATTGTTTGATAATTTCCAATCTGACATAAAATTACAATTTATCTATTAATACTAATTGAAACATAATTCTTTATGAATAAGTTTGTTATTTGGTCATATTTACAGAATTTATATCCTTACGATGACAATAATGATTTGTAATTGTTATCTGTCAATAACTGTTTAACTTTACTGAAAATTTAACACAAACTTATTTAGTTTATGTTAGTGGCATTTGGACTATGTTTGGTAAACTAGATGATATAGCTGATGACTTATAAGTGAAATTCGAACTTATAGCTTATGTTGAAAAGCTAGCTCATATGATAAAAGTAAAAGTGTTTGGTAAAATTAACTGTGATTAGCCTAGCTGAAATAAAAATTTCAGCGGACTTATTTGACAAAGTACCGAAAGAAGCTTATGATATAAGCTCGAGCATTTTAAAAAAGCTCGTCCAATCAAATCAAACTTATTTGTACAAAGAAAGTTTATAAACTAACCAAATAAGTTATAAGCTAGCTTACGGTGCTTAAGGCAATCATCAGTAGCTCACGAACACAGAAAATGTCCAAAAGTATCCGAAAAAAGTAACGAATAAAAGGCATCGCCAATGAAATAAAGATCGTTCGCTAGATCAAGGCAAGACATTTTTTTGAAAGAACTAATGCCTTCAATAACTTGTTCTTTCAATTTCACAGTGCAAGCAATGCAAGAAACAGCGATCCGTATCAATTAAATCATAGATTACTTCATCTCACATAGGATTATGAACAATAATCAAACATAAGGTGGAACTTCTCATTGTATCAATTAAATCACAGATTACTTCACCTAAAAAGACGATGTGAAGTCACTCCTAAAATATGCAAATATGTTTTGTGTGGAACTTAGCCACAAATCGGAGCTCATAAAAGGCCAAGCCCTTTAAGCTGCTGAACGTGCTCTGGGGGTAGTGTTGGGGGTAACCAATCGCCTCCCGTCATCTCGTCATCAACATCCTCGACTACATACTCCTGTAAATCAAATAATTGGTTACAATAATATTATGATAATAAGAATAAAAAGGGTTCAACATTTTTGCGTAATTCGACCACAATCGTCAACCTTCTACATTTTTGTAAAAATGATCAATAGGACAAAATTCTGGTGATATTTTATTGATATGGTTGTGTGCTCGACACCATGCTACACCAATGTAGTTTAAACTTATGCTATTTTAGTATATGGAGTTTAAAAATAAAACAAATTGAATAGATACCAAACAAGAAACAAGGCTATGTTTCAAAAATTGAAAAGGTCAGTCAAGCTCAAGATTGAAAAAAATTTAAGAGGTTGGGATTAGATCACAACCTTATATATAAGGTAAATCTTGCTTGAATATCTCTTCCCAATAATAACATGACATGGAAAACTAATATTATATACATATATACAGAGAGATGAAGAAAAATTAAAAAATAAGAATAATCATACATTGGTGCATAGAATTAAAAATTACCAAGACTGCAATTTTTCGTCATGACTAATTGTGTGAAACTCACTTTTGTTAGCATCCTTTTGGCAAGTATATGGTAATGCCTCTGCCAAATCCTCTGCCCGACCATTGTAGCCACCAAAACGCTATAAAATATGCCGATTACTGTAAATAAGCCGAGCACTATTATAGCAACTATAAAAAGTAACGGCAGCCCAGCTTCACCGGCTCCCCCAAGGCAACCGCATTCTCCAACTGCACTGGCACAACCTTCGAAGCACGTGGTACAATCAGTCCACATACAGAGAGTACCGGGCAAGTGGCAATCGGCACATATACTGCAGGCACGAAATAGGAAAAAAATAAAATAAAATAAAATGTAAATTACTAAAGCCCTATGGGATGGAATCAAATTTGATAACATTTTTAACCGCAGAAATATATTTTTTTCTCAACATTCAAACTCGACGAGTCACAAATATTTATAAACTTCTTGTCGAATTAAAGAAAGTTATACGTCACAAGATAGAGAAAATACCCAGGTTGGCAACAACAAAGGCACAATTCTCGACAAGGCTGCGCCAGATCATTTCGAACTCTTCTGTCGTAACAAGTTATAAAGCATCCGGATAAGCCCAGCAAAGCGAAAAACAATAATGCTCCTACATAACAACAACAAATAGATTCGCGGTTTTTCCAGTAGCTTATTAACGTAAATGGTTCTCCATCAATTTGTAAAAGCTGCAGTAACAAGGGTAATATTCTGCAACATGTGTGCTGAAGAATTCATAACACCTAAAATTACTGAATCAAATTCAACAAAGCAAACAAGCCAAAGCGAATTTGGCAGGAAATAACTAAAGGACAGACAATTTGGATTTTAAGTGATAGTAATGATAGGAGTAAAGGGTCGGTGTGAGAGAAAGTAAATATTATTATGAAGAAAATTATTATGTGAGTGGATGAATAGTGAATTAAAGTTGATTTGATATGTAACAATGATTGGTTGGTATTATTAAATTCTATTGATAATATTGAGGATAGTGGAGTTGGGTTAAAGTTGAGTTAGATTTTGAGTATGAGTTGAAATAATTTATAAACAAACACAGCGTAAGCTTCCAACTCATCCCAAGATTTGGGCTACAAATATTGCATCACTGATTTTATTCTTATCCAACTTTCCTTTTGCTTGAGTACAGAGTCCACTTCTCATCTATATCATAGAAGTTTCCGTGTGACCATTTCAAAATAATCGTGAAGATGATGGGTTTGGGATAAAATAAATCCAAGCATACATAAATAAATTATTGAACATAAACGACAACACACATAAGGACAAAATGCTTTACCACATATATAGTAGAAGCTAATTTCACTGTCAAAACCCCATGCCAGACGAAGCCAATAGTTCTGGTAACCATCTATAAGATACACCAAATATGCCAAAAGAGAAATAACCTGTAATGGGTAGTACACTTGTCATGCTTCAAAATACAAGGTATAAATTTTGAGCACCATAACGTCAAAGCACGTAAATAGATCAAAACAATATATTATTAAAAAAAATAAAAAATCATTTGAGTTGAGAATAGTCCAACAACTTACCATCTGCACGGAGAAAAAGATAAATAAAATATCTCTTGTGACAAAAAATCGGAACTTCAATGTTCTCCATTTCCTATCAGCAACGCCGTGTACTCTTAGATAATAAGGAGCCTTGCAAGTTGTGCAGTGAGCAAAGGCAAACCCTTCCTGTAGGGTACAAAAAGAAAGATAAGGAAACTTTACGGTTGCATACTTAAAAAGAGCAAAAACTGTCAGGGAGATTATACAACCGATTTAAGCAACTACCAGGAGCTATAACTTTCGCCAACATAAATAGTTATCTAGTGGTGAATAAGTGACGACCCCCTAACTTCACATCCAAGACAATGCAGGGAAGGTATTTCAATGACGAAATCAATAAAATAGAATAACAACAAGGTAAAACACAATGGAGGAAAAATAGAAGCAGAACTTGAAGTGATATCAGCTATAAAAATTCCAGGAAAAACAAGAAGACTCAACCTCTACGGAAATCTCAAACCAAACCAAGATTTAACCTTTTCAACAACCAAAAAAGGATATTTACCTTCACCGCACGCCAATGATCTAGACACTCTCTGTGAACATATTTTGCTGTCCCTTTACACTTGCATGGAGCAATAAAATCCCTACCTGATCAAAAACCCAAGTAACACGGTTCACCTCAAAAAAATATTTACGAATATAAAAATAAGAACAAAACATTATAGGCAGATAATCGGCACCCGTTCTATCGAATAAATACAGTTCACATATTGCACATGGACTTCTCTCCAGACGTAGATAGAACAAATACAGTTCACATATTGCACACGGACTTCTCTTCAAACGTGACACAAAGAAAATGCAATCCCACTTAGCAAATTTGGCACTACATAGTTCTAAAAAAGTAATAAGAAACCAGAGAAATCTCCGTATAGATAACATCTGATGTATGACACTTTTTATCCAGCAGTTTAAGTTACGAAAAAAACGTTCTTGGCGTCCATTATACTTCAAGATACAAAGAACGCAACACATTTCACCCGCAAACACAAAGAGGCAACCCTTTTCATTGCAAGATTATTACATCATAACAACAGACGAACCCCCAAAATCGTGAATTGAGTAAAAATTAGGGCTTTTACCGTCGGTTTCGAGGCAAATACGGCATTGAATTTGCTCATCGGGCCCCGCCTCGAGGTCAATCTCAGATGGGTCCTTGACAGGCGCCGGCGGCACCAGCGGCGAAGAATCGGAGCTCTCGCCGACCATTTTCCGCCACAAAAATTAAAACAAAAAATTAAAAGAAGACACAAAACGATGATGAATTTCAGCAATTTGAATTCAATACCACAAACAAAGAAAACCCCTTTTCTGAAAACCCACCGAAATTTCTACACTTTGCATAAAATTCAAACTTTCATCAATTGATTTGGAAGAAAAAGGGGGTCTTTCAGAGATTCAGACCTTCAATCAGTGTTGAAAGTCTGAGAGAGGTTCTTTTGTTTGGGGATGGAAGCTTTTTTAGCTATATATGACCAAAGAAAAAAGAAACGAATAATAATAATGTGCTCAAAGAAAAATTCATTGCACTAGACACTACTTGTTATAAAATCTCCAATTTGCCTTTTGATTTATTCTACTTATTTTATAGTCCCTCCTATGTTTAATATAAGTGTCATTTTGAGAAGTTACACAATAATTAATAATATTTTTAATTTTTTTAGTCAATAATAACCATCATTAATAAGGATAGAGATGAATGTTTTGAAAATAAATGAAGAGAGAATATGAAAAGACGTAGTATATTTATTAAGTAGATGGGGATAATAATGAAAAAATATGTACAAAATATCTAAAATGTCATTTATTTGATTAATTGTTGATAAAACTAAAATGACATTTTAAAAAAATAGAAGGGAGTAGTAATAAATAATTTGTTTGTATGCTTGTTTTTGGATTATAAAAAATAATTTGCTTTATTCTGTATTAAGTCTGTTTTCATATTTTGCTACTTATCCAGTTTTTATTTTTATTTTTACTTAAATGAAACTTATATATTTTGTAACTTTTTGAACATAAAATGCAAAAAAATCATCAGCTAATTAAGGGGGCGATTAGATATAGTTTCAATAGTAAAAAAATAAATCAAAACTCAAATTTAACTAAATTTTAATCAATCTCATTATCTCTAATATTATCAATATAATTAAATAATATCAACCAGTCATTCTTACACATCACATCAACTTTAATTCATTATTCATTCACTCACATCATTTTAACTAACCATCACTTCCAATCATTTTTCTTCTACTTTAAATCAAATCACTTTAATTATTTTCTTTAAATATTATTTTAATATATCCACTAACAGTTATCCATACCACCTTTTTTTCAAAATTAACTATAGTTAAAAAAACAAACCAAATAAAAACTAGTTCAATCCATAAACAATCACCCCCTAAAAAATCGTTAGAACTAATATTTCTTATTTTATTTTATTTTTTTCGGTTAAATACTAATATTACAAAGACCAAATTTATTTAAGCCTTATATTATATTCCTCTTATTTTTTAAGCATGCGACAAAAGAATGTCTTATACTATATTCCTCTCATTTTGTTCCTATTCTTCTTATTACCTCATCTTCTCAGAGTGCCGCGCGGACTATTTTGTTGGTTAATTTTTAAAATGTTACATTAATTATTTTGTTTGTTTTTTAGTTTGAGGATAATAGTATTATCATAACCAAAATAATTTATAAACTAAGTACACGAATAGTTTGAACAAGCTATATTTTAAGCATTCAAGACTCATTCATTGGACTGATTGCAAATGAGGTAGTCTTACCTATTTATAGTCACCTCTCTCTAATAAACTATCTAGAACTACATAATGTGATAACACTCTTCCTTTCTAACACTTACTAATATTAAGTATAATGTTCTAGATTCATCTACACATGTTTAATCCCTACTACAATAATCTACTTGTAGTCTCTACCAAAAATCTAGTATCTCCTTTGAGCTTCTATTGGTATGTAGAAACTTCTATGTGCTTCCACTAGCTTCCTCATCCATCTAAATCCTTCTACAATATTTCGGGACCTTCCACATTTTTCAGAGTTGTTTTAGAAGCTTTTGAAACCTCTCACAATGTTCCTGACGTACTCTAAGCTTCTGACAACTTTTACAATCATTACAGACCTTCCCTAACCACGGATGAGAGCAGTCTCTTCCCTTCCCGTTATGTATAAAGCTGGTCGGAGCAGGTAGGCAAAGTCGAACTAAGAATCAAGAAACCGAGCATATGATTGTTGAGAAGGATACCAATTCTAGGCGACACGTAGCCTGACCCGAGCTGCATTCTTGAAGAGAGTACGCATTTTAAGGCCTCGATTGTGCGGTGGATCCCGAGCAGCTCGGAAACTCACGAAGAAGGCAATCCATAATGCTCTGGGATTTTCAGAACCTGTGTTCCTATAGACCAAAAGCATAAGCTATATAGAGCTAATGCATTAAAGAGTGCCCTTATATGCATAAAATTCATATTTTCATCAATTGATTTGGCAGGAAAAAAAATGTCTTTAAGAGATTCAGACCTTCAATAGTGTTGAAATAGACACTAACGTCTAAATAAATTTTCATTTAACAGATTACATAGACACTAACGTCTAGTTAATCCGAAGAACTTATCGAGCTTAGAATCTTTAAATAAAATGCAACTAACTGGATATATAAATAAATAAACGAGATGTCTCTATTATTCGACTGGAGCGCTACAAAATATGATTCATAAAATCGTATTCAACACTATTACAATACAAACTAAGACAAATTAACTATGTTAGTACTTTTAGACATATTCTCAGAGTATTTTGTATTTTTTGCTATGTATTTTAACGATCTACATATTCATATTTCAAAAAGAATAAAATAAAATTTACTTCGTTAGAAATATATAGATAATAATAACACATAAAATAATGTAATTGAGGAACATGACTGAAGTTAATGTCAAACTGTAACAACTGAAATAACAATGTAATTGAAAATGTATAACGGCAATATTAAATAAATTATATTCATTTAAAAAATTATTCTTTTTTTAAAGTTTATTCATGGTTTATTGGTGTTATCTCAACCAAAGAACAATACTAATCAAAGTATAGGTAATATAATTAGAATTACATTACATTTTTTAAATTATAAAGTTTGCTTCAGTTTATGTATTTGTCGTGCCGTTAGTCGTTTTTTATTTTTCTTTTCATTTTTTTATTTGTAAATCTACCAACCTTAGTTAATTTAGAATACTTATGTATTAACTAGTCATACCATGAGCTTTTCTTTTCCTTTTTTTTTTATCTTTTTTTTTTTCTTTTTTATAAGACTATCTGCATCAAGTAATTTAAAAATACTTAAATATAGTAGAGTAATTTACAAGTAAATAAGTACTTATATTCTATTAATTTTGGTTGATTATTGCACCTTGAAATTTGAAGCAGTAATAAAAGTTTTGACACCAAAAAAATTGGAATACTTTGTAGAAAAAGGAAATAATGTAATATGCTAATAAAAAAAATAAATATTATTAAATGGAAAAAAGTGAGAGAGGATAAGGTGTATTGAACCTCATCTTAGTGGGATAGTATTTCAACAAATCTAATGGCCAATATCACCTTCTAATATCTAAGGGTGTGGGGTGGAAGTGGAGAATGGTAGCTAGACACGCACTGCCTTATATTATATTCCTCTTGCCTTATATTATATTCCTCTTTATTTTGACGTACGGACTATTTCATCGGTTAATTTTTAAAATATTATATTAATTTTTTATATTTTTGTTAGTTTGAGGATGATAGTATTATAAAGACCAAAATACCTAACTATTTATAAAGTAAGCACACCGAATAGTTTGGACAAACTATATTTTAAGCATTCAAGACTCATTTATTGGATTGATTGCAAATGAGGTAGTCTTACATATTTATAGTCACCTCTCTCTACTAAACTATCTAGAACTACCTAGTGTGATAACTCTTCCTTTCTAACACTTACTAATATAAAGTATAATGTTCTAGATTCATCCACACATGTTTAATCCCTACTACAATAATCTACTTGTAGTCTCTACCAAAAATATAGTATCTCCTTCGAGCTTCTATTGGTATGAAGAAACTTCTATGTGCTTCCACTAGCTTCCTCATCCATCTAAATCCTTCTACAATATTTCGGGACCTTCTACATTTTTTAGGGTCGCTCTAGATGCTTTTGAAACCTCCCACAATCTTCCTGACATACTCTAAGCCTCCGACAACTTCTAGAATCATTACAGACCTTCCCTAACCACGGATGAGAGCGACATGTAGTCCGACCCAAGCTGCGTTCTTGAAGAGAGTGCGCATTTTAAGGCCTCGATTGTGTGGTGGATCCCGATAGCTCAGAAACTCCCGAAGAAGGCAATCCATAATGCTCTGGAATTTTCAGAACCCGTGTCCATATAGACCAAAACAATGGCGGATTAAGGATTCCCCCATATTGGGGACACTAATGGCCGAAGTCTCCGCCACCAATATCGGCTCTTCTCGGCTGAAGTCTCAGGCTATATAAATTTATAAAACATGGAAAAATTTAATTGGGGACCTGTGACCCCATTAAACATGGCTGGATCCACCATTGGACCAAAAGCATAAGCTATATAGATCTCATGCATTAAAGAGTGCCCTTATATGCATAAAATTCATATTTTCACCAATTGATTTGGCAGAAAAAAAAATGTCTTTAAGAGNAAAAAAAAATAGGTCTTTAAGAGATTCAGACCTTCAATAGTGTTGAAATTTGTAGAGAAGTTCTTTTGTATCGGGGTGGAAGCTTTGTGCTTGAAGAAAGTCATTGCGCATCTATATATATATATAATTGCTGACAAACTTCAATAAATTTTATTCAGCCAACAAATTATAATAATATGAGTTCATTTAATAAAAATAGGTGTTCATTTAATAAAAATAAGTTCATCATTTAATAATAACATGTAACTTTCAGTTATACAATTTATTTTGACAGGCCCCATTTTGGATGGTGCCCTTTCTGTAACGCTTTTTTATGTCCTGAAATACAAAATATATTAGTTTTTATTTTGATACTATATATTTTTCGGTATTATATAAATACATATTTCAAAACTAATAAAAAATGACTACAAATATCTCTGTTTTCTATTGCAGTCATACAATGATACAAAAATATTTTTTCAAATATTAAAAATACACATCAAATATTTTGAAAAATCAAATCCCAGAATCACGAGTTGAAGAGATTTAACGATAATGATTTGTTGTGATGGACATTCTGACGATGTGAAAACCACGAATGTCGTATATAAAGAAGTATTTAATAATATTTAGATTTGTTTTTTAAATTATTTTTTTCTCATTTATTAAGTTATATTTTTTATTTTATTCTATATTTTTAATTATTTTTTCTTCTATTGTATCGTTTTTCGTGCAATTGCACGGGGTAAAACTAGTTTGCACCAAAAGACACTACTTGCTATGAAATCTCAAATTTGCCCTTGATTTTATTCTCCAATATGTTGTAAACAATAATTTGCTTTCATCTGAATTACGTCTGTTTTTGGATTTTTCTACTTATCATGTTTTTGTTTTTATTTTTTAATTAAATGCAACTTAAAATACAGGTATATTTCATAATTTTTTTAACATAAAATGCAAAAACCGTCAACTAATTCCATCATCGTACGTAGTTGGAATCGTAAAAAAATTGCCAGCATTAATATTT